GCTCGGTCACAGAGGCATAGGCAGAGCCTAGGGAGCTCCACGGCGAGCTGGACTGCTCTGCCAGGACCACATCACTTTGGAGGCCTACAGAGCCCACACGGCCAGAGCTGCCCAGTGCGGACCGTGCTCCTCCACTGAGCTCAGGCTTCACCAGCTCCCACAAGCCTCCGCTCTTCTCATCCTCCCGCTGGAGGGTGTGAAGCTGGGAGGGAATGAGAGGTGGGCCTGCTTCTTTATGAGGGTTAAAGTGTTTGTGGAACTGTAAAATAGCATTACATACCGATTGTTCCTGTAAATAAAGGCTGCTGCTGTTGCACCAATTAGGGGAGCAAATATCAGACATTTGTTCCATAGCTTTTTGTTTGTCTAAACAGCTAATGGTCTGCAAAGGACTGTGTGAAGGCAAACCCCAGCCCATTCACAGCTTCTAAAGGCCTAACAAAATATTCTGAGCTTGATTCACATAACCTCTATATCAAAGCTCAAATTTTACCCTCTTTCATGTTACGCTTTCTGTTGAATCAGATCACAAATCAGTACCCACTTTTGAGAGATTTTATATGAATAAATCACATTTTCCCCTTTCACTGAACTTCAACAGCTCTTAGAGGTAGCATTCAATAGAATCGCTTATACACTATCTGCAAGTGTCTGTCACTTTATGATGAAATGTCACTTTATGCACGCACATGTGCACACCCACAAAAATGGCATGTGCACGCACATACATATGAAAGCATAACCAAAGCCAGCCCAGCCAACCAGTCCCCTGTTCATACTATATTCATAGTTTCCAGAATGGCATTTTAGCTCCATTAAAATGGTGTAAATAATCTACATATAACTGAAGAGTTATTAAGCTCTGCAAATGCCTGGAGCCAAGCTCTTGTCATGCTCAGACCGCTTAGAGGCATGAGGCTATCTCAATGGTAACGCTCCTGGCAGTGCTCCTGGCGTGCTGGCCCCTCACAGCAGAGACCCTCAAAGAAGGGGCAGTGGCAGTAATAAATGAGGCATCTTCCAGTCTTACCAGTCTTGCCGGTGGGTTGGGTTGTTTTTTGTTGTTGTTGTTTTTTGTTTGTTTGTTTGTTTGTTTGTTTTAAGTGGAAGTGCTTTCTAAAATATTTTTCCAATCACCTCTAATCCTCACTGCTCTCTGATTTTAACAAAATAAATAGAACATGAGAAAATTATTATAGAACTTTCGGTTTAGATCTGTTACTGTCAGTGGGGTTACTGGCTCTTGGAAATACAAAAGATGGATGAGTTTCATTTAAAAAGCATAGTTCATCCTGGCTAAAAAATTAGTTAAAGGCATACAAAGAAAACTAAACTAGGTACTTAAAATTGTTGGCTGTGGATTTTGTCATTCATTCTGTTTCACATAAACCTGAAGGATTTAAGGCTACACTTGGATAAACTCCTTCAAGGAGGCTGCCAGCACTGTTGGCAGAGATGGTTCAAGGTCACAGCAAACACACTGAGCTCTAATCCCAAACAGTAGTGACTCCATGACTACCACTTCACTAGGTCTACCACACATATATTCCTAACATGTTAATTTTTCAGGCTTAAACATTAAATTGTCATACTCAGATATACTGAAAAATGTTACCATTTAGATTTAACTAACTCTGAGAATGGAGGTCAAAGCAGTTTCTGAAAGGTGTTAATGTTTCCAGATAAACATGCCTGAAACAATCACTCCATGAATACAAAAAGTACTTTCCCTCAAGCAATTTTAAAGCAAAACAACCAACACAGCATTCAAGACATGCAAAAACCACCTGTGAAATGCCAAACCTAAGCTGAGTATGCATCAAGACCACCATATTCCCCAGGACACTGTTAGAAATTCCAGTATCTTCACCACATCCTGGCCATTCAAGACACAGTTGGTCATTAAGCCTGCTTTATCTGAACACCAAGACGGTATGCAGCTCTATAATTTCTGCTGCTGTTCAGCATAGACATAGTGCAGAGGTGGGAAAAATGTCCCCACAATTTTAATGTCCATTGTCATTTTTCAGAAACCTGCTAGCATCAGTGATCTTGACCAGACTGCTACTACATCCCCTCTATTAAGACACGTAGACCTGTCTTACTACCCTAGGCTGAACATCATTTGACATAATCGGGTTTGCATGCGTGACATCAAAACACACAATTTCAGCTTTCAACATTGTAAAAATGGCAGATAATTTCATCAAAATCACTACAACTATGGCTTTAAAAAAGCAGAAGTGGTAAAACACCAGGCTGCACAACGAATCTATGCTGGAATACTTCTGGTTAATTTCTAACATCAGCAGAATTAGTAGGCCCCCAAATCCTTAAGGCAGCTATTTTTAAATTAATAACCTGCCCACTGTAGTCCAGGCTTAATAAATTCATTGCAACAAAGCTCTGCAGGTATGTTCATCTCACTCACATTGCTCCACAACAATTTAAAAATTCAAGTTTGAGGTCACACCATTTCACCTACACATTTCAGGTGACACTGCACACTCTAGACAAACCAGTTTCACCAATACTGCCAGAAAGATTAACTTCCTATTACACAATACAAAAGAAACAAAATATTGTTACAAATTCTTTGTTTCTGCTCTGGCATCCTTTTAGTGAGGTAAAATTCCCCGCACAGAAGTTTTACCTCAGTACCTCACTCCACCACTGCATCAGGTAACATTTTTACCATAAATTAAATTCCACACCCGCCACGCATACCCCATCAGAGGAACCCTAAGTGCATTCTCAGACATTTTACCAGTGACAGTGAGAATCTAAACAATGCAATTAACAGAAATTACACTAAGTTGGTCTGCTTGAAGGCAATTCAGGCAGTCTAAAACAGTCTGTTTGGGATATCATCACAAATTCTGTGAGCACATAGATTAGCAATGATTACCCTGTCTTTTTCATTACTTTCATAACATAATGGACATTAGCAAAAAAATAATCCTTTCCAGTGTGCATTTGCTCTGAAGTGGTCTTAGAAACAGTCATCAAATGCAACTTAAGGTATATGTAAATGAATTATATCGTTTTTTAATCAATGATTAATACATTTGAAAAACACCCCTATACCTTAAAAAGCACATGCAGAATACCAGGTGATTATAAGAAATCTCAGTATTAACCTGAAAAAAAAAATCTAATAATTATTATATTCTATTACGTGAAAGATAATCTGTCTTACTATCTTACATCAATTTTAAATCTGAAGTAGAAATATTGCTTTCTAATATTACTGAGTTTTCTGTTAAAAACTTGTGAACAGCTGCACAGATAATGTTATACTCTGCTTAAGATCATAGATGCAAATATTGCTGACTGTTTTCTCAGGCAAATAATAATACACAATAAAAAGTATTTTAATTGCCACTCGTAACATGACACGCTTTTTTAATCCCTTGGTATAACATTCTGCTTACCACACTACCAATGGTACACCCCAATACCGCATGCAAGTTTTCTTTCCATTTATAATCTTTTCACAAAAAAGACTGGAGTTCTTACACTCCAGTAAAAGAAAAAAAAATAAAAAGGCAAAAAAAAAAAATTAGCTACACTGTATACCCTTATGTTAATCAACAGTAATCACACCTGGTTTAGTACTCACTGTGTGCATAGGGGGATTTATTCTGAGTGACAGAAAAAAGAGAATTTAAGAAAAGAATGGCATTTATAGACAAAATAATTGCTAGCAAAACAAATTTTCATAAAGCACTTTAAAAAAGGTAATCAGTGCTTTGTTTTTGCCATTTTCATACAGCCTTTATCAAAGTTTTAAAGGTCTGTTAAAACCAGCCTTGTAAGTGAACCGTAACGGTGAGATGTGACACCATTTGTTGTCAAAAACGGCATCAGACACTGGATCCCCCAAATTCACACGAGTATCTGCCGTACAGATCCCACAAACCATTACACCCCAGGGGGCTTCTGGCTCATCTACAGGATTCACCTTGTGTGAACGCATGCAAGGAGCTGTTCAGATAAACAAAACCACCTTCCAGGAGAGGTTTCCACTATTTCTACCTTGATAATTGTTCCAAGTGTGTTGCAGGGAATTTTTTAAAAATATTTTGCCTCAAAAAAAAAAAAAATCGACAGCTCGACACTCACGCAAGCTTACGTGGAAAAGTGGAAAACAGAAGGAAGACAAAAGCTGTACAACTATTCTTTTGTCAGCTGGAGCTGCTAATCCAAACTCACCACAAAGTTTTATCGCAGCACTGATCTCCCCGCGAAGTTGTCATCGCACGGGAGGGACACGAGCTGTATCAGAGGCGAGGTTAATTGGGAAGCAGGACGAGATGGCTGCACCGCCGCTCGCAGCCCTTCCCACGGAGCCGAGCACACCCGGCGCGGACACACCCTTTCCCCAAAATACGCTGGGCCGGGGCGTGAAAGGGAGCCGAAGGAGCCCGAGTGACCCCGGCTGAGGAATGCCAGGAATCCCCCGAGGAATGCGGGCGGCCCCCGGCCCCCCTCAGCGCCCTCTCAGCCCACCTGAGGGCAGGGCTCCCGCTGCCCCCCCGCTGCCTCACGGCCGGGCAGGGCTCGGCGCCCTCGGCCTGCGGGGGGCGGCGGCGGAGCCCCCACGCGGTGCGGGACCCCTGAGGAGATCCCTGAGGAGATCCCTGAGGAGATCCGCGGGGCCGCCGCCCCCCTCCCCGAGCTCCCCGGGCCGCCGCCTCTCCTCACCCGTCCCGAGGCGCTGCCCTCCGCGCGGGATCCCCGGCAGCTCCGTGCCGCGTTCGCCGCCGGAGCCGAGCGCCGCCCGCCCGCCCCCTCGGCGGGGGAGGGGGCCGGGGCCGGGGCCGGGGCCGGGCCGGGCGGAGCCCCGCGGGGCCGCTCCCTCAGGTGAGCGAGGGGCGGCCTCGGGCGCGCGCGGCCGTTTCCCGCCCACGGGCGGCCGTTGGGCTCCCTGAGGGGAGCGCGGGCCTGCCTCAGGCCGGAGCCGCCCGCAGCACACCACACCTAGGGATTGCGCAGGGCGGAAAACAAAACACAAAAACAAACAGAACCACGCGCGACTGCTCCTACTTCGTTCAGGCTGCGGGAAACGGTGCCGGGACGAAAAGGGGCGGCTGGGACAGCCCGCTGCAGCTGCAGCCCAGCGCCGGGCCCAGGTACCGCCTGCTGGGGCTGCGCTCCCCCGCAGCGGGAGGAGCTGAGGCAGGCTCCGGGCAGGGCCGGGCGGGTGGAGGTGAGAGGGAAGGGCCGAGGGGCCGGGCCGGAGCAGGCAGCGAGAGCACGGGCACCGCCACCTCGGGGCACGCCGAGGCTGCCTTGTTTTGGGGGATTTTCACAATGTCTTCGGTGAGACTGGAAATAGCCCAGAAAGGTCTGCGCAGATTTCCAGAACGTTCTACACATGGAGCGAGAACTGAAGCGCTGCCTCGCTGCGGTGTGTCCCCCTTCGCCTGGGTGTGAAGGAAGGCTCAGTGCTAAGGACCAGAGTTTGTAAGTGTTGTTCAAAAAAAAATAACAAACAAGAAAACCTCAAGTGACCACAAGCAACTCACAAGTTGGGCCTCGGTTGGTATTTTACACTACCAGAAATTTGCTCGCAAGATTTGAACCCCCTAAACCAAGCAGCATTGTCAGGAGAAAAAACAAACAAAAAAAAAAAGTTATAGCAAATGTACAGGGAAAGAAAAATAAAATAGGTCTATGTCAAGAATAGACAGAGAAATACAGGGCAGCGAATGCAAAAAAAAAAAAATAAATCAGTATTTAAGTCATGAAAACCACTTACAGACTTGTTCTGCTGGAGGAGCATGGATAGGCATGTGTCTTTCAAATGCAGCTGTACAGATGAGTGCTCCTCACATTTACACCACAGCTGCTCTGCTAACTGTTACATATATGTCAAAAAAAAAAAAAAAAAAAAAGCCTAGTTAGCAAATGCCTACAATGCAAACTTCAAGGAATCGCATGGCTTTGTGGTAGAGGATGCCCCTGTCTTAGGATGTGTAAAGAGAAGAGGTTTAATGAGAAAAGTGACTACTCGCAATACAACATTAATAAAGGCATTTCTGGGGCACCTGATGCAGTTTTAGGTTGTGTACTGGAAAAAAAAAATGCTAAAGTTCACGCAAATCTACAACATATTAAAAAATAAGTGTACTTTGAGAAGGTAAAGAAATACATTCTCTAATATTCTAAGTCTGTATTTGTACCTGCAAGAACAGCAAAATTAGATAAAGCAAAAATAAGTTGATAAAGAAGTAGCAATATGGCAGCAGTAGCTTGTAATAAAATACTATACTGATGGTTGATCAGTAGACAGAACTATCAACTGTGGTAATTGGAAAAATTCTAAACAATTTTCTAAAGAACTAACTAACGAGGTGTTTGCAGACATTTAAATGTTTTCCTTTGCTAAGAGGATGGAATTATTAGGGTGACAGGGTCTATTATAGACTACTGTTGTGGAAAAATGCATCTATACATAATGTGCTAAATTCATTCTCCTTCAAACTGCTTGTTGAAAGGAAAGCCATAGTTGTACTATTTCAGATTTTTCTGCTCGTGATGTATTAAGTTGATCTGACAAAATGCATATGAGCCAGAACTTGTTGCCACCTTGTTTTTTTGTTTGTTTGTTTGTTTGTTTTTGTTTTTTAAATGTATTTTGGCACTTGCTTTTCATATATATTTTTTCACATAACCAGAGCCCATGACTAATACTGGAGCTATTTAAGTAAAAGGTTTATATAGTTTGCTTAGCTCCTTTCACTGCTGTTTTCAAAATGTACACAAGGTTTACCTTCCAACCCCCCTCTAATTGGTAAAACTGAGAATCAAAGAATGGGAAAGAAACAAAAGTAATTAAATCGTTTTCCTTGGAGTTACATGAACTACGTGGCAGATGTCAGTCAGCTGAGCTCACAGAACCGCGTACATATGTCTGTATTTTATTAGAATTAAAGTGTGAAGAAATAGGCTGACAGTTTGTTCAGTGTCTTACTATAGTTTTGTAATGTGTGACGGAACCGTATAGGCGAGAACATGCTTCAGTAAAGAGGTGCGTACACCTATAATTTTCAGGTTATTGTTAGAAGTTAATTAAAACAGGTGCTAATCAGTGTTATACAATAACACATTTCCATTGCACTGAGAAGCAAACCAGAAAACAGCATAAAATATTATTTTCTAGCTAAAACAACCAAGTTATGATGACTAATAGCCATTATTATGGAGTCTATAATAATTATTTTTTTCATGATACATTACGTATCAGCTAGCAGCTCAGGAGGCAATGCAGTTGCTATGTGGAATGCTCAGTATTAAAGTGCTTACGAAATTATCCTTCTGTTCTGCATTTCTGAGTTTCACGGAAGTTATTTCATGTTATATATTTTGTATTTTAAAAAGTCAAAGATGGGACCAGCACAACTGCTAAAACTCCCATTTAGACTGTGAGCATCCCAGACTGAAAAAGAGAGCTTTCACTGGATTTTAACTCAAAATTCTATCCTAAACGTTATATGCCCTTGCAGAAAGATTAATCTGAACTTTTAAATGTCCATGAAAACTATAGTTTCAGTCAAACGTTTTGCCAAGCAGTTACTTACAGATCTTTGGCGTACTCCAAACATGAGTTATAGGGCCACTTGGTGTAGTAATGCTGCAAAAGCATTATGACTTTGTTCAGTAAGAGCTATAGTCCAGCTGGAATGCTGCAAAAACACAAGATTGTCTGGTGAGGTAAGAATTTTTTGAAGGAATGCATACAAATACAGTAATCAGGTAAAATTGCACCAAAGGTGGAGTTAGGTCATGCACAGAATACCATCTCAGTGCAGGCTACCATTTCCTTTCCCACCCTCAGCCACTTACTTTTTTCTTCCTCTCCTTTAAATAAAGGCTTTGGTCCTTGTTTACAAAAATGGCTCAACACTATGATTAATGTCTCTCAGTACAGGCAGTGTATTATCAAGCAGTTGTGAAATACAATACAAAATGGAGTATGCAGCTAAAGCAAAAACAAACAGTAATGCTGTAGCAGCTTGTGCTGTAGATTAATTCCAGCTGCTAGCTACTCCAGCACACCTCGGGTATTTTATAGCACTCACTAAATTCAGCTCTCCTCTCTACAGTCAGACTGCATTGTAAGTTTGGTTTTACAGGGCCATGCTTGGTTCCAAGTAATATGCACCTCTATCTCTTACCATTAGACTACACATTGAACTGAACTATGACTTTTTGTTACAGTCTTCTGATTTCCTCAGGAAAGGATCTGATTCAATAATCACAGTATATAAGTACTTTGAAACAATGTTTCTGGCTTATCTTTTACAATATGTATTACAATTTTCTCATCATAAAAGTCTAGATGTCTGTTGCTTAAGAAGGAACAAAATTATCCCTGTTTTTAAGTGTATTCAATATTAAATAGATATTTTCATGTTTCTTGTTTCAAGAAACAGTTGTCAAAATTCATGTCTTCTTTCTAATCCCTAACATTACTTTCACTGACATAATATTTTATCTTAAGCAGAATGTTTGCAGAGTTGATTTTAGAATTATATCTATATTTATTCTCAACCATGTATACAAATCTAAGGCACTTTTGCATGAAATGAGCATGCGACAGTATGCTTCTATAAAAACTAGACCACTTTGGTTAGCACAGAACACCGAGGAACAGCTGTATTTAAAATATTAAATTTACCCTGGTATAAATTTAATTCCAGAGGAGAATTTGGGTTGTTTGAAGAAATTTAATTTTACACTTTTACCAGATGGTTTTTAATGTATGATCTCTGCTTCCTGATGATTAAAGAGAGGTCATTCTTCTTTTCCCACCTTTCTTATTTTTCCCCCCCTCTTTCCTTGGTGGTGAGTTTATTATTACTGTTGTTGTTGTTGTTTTCCCTGTCTTTTACACGTGTCATTTCTTATTTTGCCCTAAGCAGCTGTCAGGGTACTACTGATACAACCCAGACCACTGGGTTCCCTCTGCCTCTAACCCAGGCACGTGATGTGGAGAGGTGTGCAACAGTATTCTAAAAAAGCCTGAATAATCCCAGCCATTACTGCAGCTATACAAAAACATATGTACATTGCAGGACTTTCTTAAGAGGAGAGTAAAACGTGGCAAATAAAATGTCTGAAATTATAGATGAAATTGTAGAACAGGAGATTAATGTTTTCAGATGTTTGCAGAGGGGAAAATGCAAGTTTTTAATTTATGTCAGTTAATCCCTGGTGAGGAAAAAGTTAGGAAGTAAAGATTTAACCTGTAACTTGTCATCTATAGAATTTTATTTCATTTTAGTTAGTTGAAGTCCATGAATACTCTTTCTACTGTATACAAGACTGTACAATCGTTAACCTTATGCACATAAACATAGTATCTCACTCTTGATTTCTAAGGGTGCAAGGTCAGTGGAAGGTGAAAAGAAAACAGTTAACTTTAAAAGTTGTTGACAGGAAAATACAACACAAAGTTTGATCATGTGATAGTTTCAATTCTAATTACTAGATTATATGTTAATTTTTACATTAAATGAATAACCAGTATTGATATGAACTTCAGCTGAAGTTTTTCAACACCTCTATATCTAGCCACCATGAGGGTTTCTGAACTTCCATTCTTCTTTGACTGCTTTTGGCTATTTGTACCTTTCTTCCCTTGTACCTTAAAGATGGGTGGGTGGACCCACTAGCCTCATTCAAGCAATCCTAGTAAAGACAAAAGACTTTTTTTCTACGAAAAGCCTGTAGAAATCCTAGATACTACAAAGCGCGTGTTCCAGAAACCACTGTAACAGTTACCTGCTCTCCTGTTGTGTACAGAGCCCTGTTTGGACAAGGTCAGCCTTCCTGCAGTCAGCTGTGCCCATGCTACAGAAACTTTTTTTTTAAGCAGGTAGCATAGATGGGGTTTCCATTTTGCACAAATATGCAAAGTTAATAATTTAATAGCATTATCAGTGTCTTTATATGAAGAAAGTTTAAATGCAGCATTGTTTCAGTCATTGCAATCATAAATATTGGTTACTTCATCATTGAATTAGCTAATGCTAATTGAATGGCTATGGGTGTAGCTCTCAAAAACTATTGGTCTTATCTGTTTTATAATAATGCCTTCAGTATTAGGACATCTTACTTGGCATTCCTGAGCTCCAAGCAGATACACATCCATACCTCAAAATGGTTTTCAACTTAAGTAGACAGAAGATTTAGTAACAAAAAAAAAACAAAAACAAACAAACAAACAAAAAAACCAGAATGTACTATGTTGAAATAAAAACATATCATAGCAAGACAATGCCAAGACTTTCTGAGGAATTTAACAGTTTTGTCCATAATACAAAAAATAATACTCATGTGCCTAATGTTGAGAAAATATAATCATTTAAAGTTTAGTCTAACATAAATATTTTCAAAATTAAGGTCTATATTCTTAAGTCTGGCATCCAAATATTACATTCTGGAGAATGAACATACTCTGTGTTTCTCAGAAATACAAGTTTCTAATTGTATTTTTATCTTTATTTAAGTAACTTTATTTTGTTTGCAATTTATATAGAAGATTATTTTGTTTTAGGGTGTGCAGGCATTTAAAAACATAACTAGCATATCAAGGAAATTAGAATATAAATTAAAAATTTATATTTTTATATTTTCATATTTTAAAATGTACTGTAGCTATAGAGTATGAAGTTAAATTTACATAATATATCTATGAATTAGTCCTGTAAGTCACATGAGGATTTGCATCATATTCAGCTATCTTAAAGATGTGATCTGCCTTTGATAAGAGCTAGGACCAATATCCAGACGAGACTCTCAATTTCCACTGAAATTAAATTATTTCAATAGAGAGGTAAAACGTTAACTATATTCTTTAGATTCAAGTAACTTTTGGAACAGAGAGAAAATTGCCTATACTCCATGTAAAAATATGTTGCTAAAATCTTTCACTCCCCCGCCCCCCCCCATAGGCTTTCATGAGTATTTTAATTACTTCTTTTTGTTCCCCGACTTCTGGACAAAAATAAGGAAACATATTCAAGCCTATGGAAGTCTATGGAAGCATCTGACTCAAAACCTTTTGACCTATTTTGGTATGTCGGCAATACTTTTATGATGTTGTGCAATAGCACCACCTGGTGGGTGTAATCGTTTTAACCATTCTGTTCCTTCGACAAACATCTGATTAATTTAGGGGAAAAAAAAAAAAAAAAGACCGAAAAAAGCATTATTTTTAATATTCTTAAGATTATTATTTTTTTTTAATCTCTAGCTACTCCTTTTAATCAGGTGAAGGAAGACAATATAGGCAGTTTTATTAATCAATATTTCAGAGGAGATATAACATTTCAGAGATGCCCAATATAAAAAATATTAAGGATCAACTCACAAGGATATTGGTCCTACTATTTTAGAGGTTACACATCATTCCTGATTTTCATGCAGTATCTTAACTACCAATGCACTGAAGATGAGAAAATACCAGCATCTTTGTAAATTTAGGCAAAACCAGGAAGACATACTAATAAATATAGGTCTCAGAGGATTGGAATTTTCAACCTTTATAGGTTTTTCTTGTCAGGTCTTATGCAGAAGACTGCTCAAGCATGTGCTTAACTTAAAATTCCTTCTTCAATCCCACTCATTTCAATATGACATGAACAATTATTCAAACTTTAACATGGAAAAATACTGGATGCCCCTTGCTTTTTTCTTTTTTTTTTTTTTTCAAGAAAAAATAAAACGAGGTAATGACATACAATTTTTATTTTTATTTTTATTTTTTTACTCACTTGGACAGTGAAAGCCATAGCAGAATAAAGTCTACTGTCTCCTAACTGAAAAAAATATATTCTGTATATATTTGAAAAATTAATAAGCAACAGATGAAAGATTTTATCTATTAAAAAAAAGAGTTACACTGCAATAACAACAAATAATACCACCATAGTGTCAGATTCACCGTGTTCAGAGCTGCTGGAAGGGTTTGCATGAAATTGAAAGGTTGCTGAAGGGTAGTATATAAAAATCTTAGAGGCACACTAACCTTTCTCTCCTCAATTTGTACTTCCAGGAAGGACTTGTAATGTGCTTTATGAGAATTGTTAACCAAACCTACAAATAAAGCAAGACATAAGTATTTGTACAGTAGAATGTACATTTGTATAAGCATTTTATGGATATATTTATTTTTTTTTTCAGTTTTGATTGTGATCTGAAATAATTACTTATTTTGTACAACTCTTACAAAAAGTATTCTGTGAACTACAACCAGGAAAAAGCAAATGACCAGACTCAGGGAAATTAATTCTTCTTGGCCTTGACTGTGGTTTATTCCTTGCTTTCTTTTGAAACAAATACCAACCTGTGTTTCCATTTCAGATCCCACAATCATCCATCATCTAGAGAAGAACTTTACAGCCTAATTGTGAGTCAGCCCAGAACATTTAAGGTATCCTCAAATCCAAAGGCTTCAGTGATGAAGTAGAATCTATCTTTGACACTCATGCAAAGTCTGCTTGTCTTTACCGGGGCTTCAAACACTCATAAAGATCTGTTCATAAATATATGACGCTATGCTGAGAAACTGAACCGATACTCCAGTTTTCAGTTAATACTGTCTACTGTTGGCATAAGTTTTTCTGGTTAAATAGCATTTTGTGACTGTAGAGGGTGCTCTTAAAGTACTAGTGATGGTAGTAATATACTGCAATCAGTTTCTCTTTCTGCAAAGTTTATCAATGGTAGGATGTTTACATTTAGCAAAGAAAATTGTTACACAGCTAGTCTTATTTTGTATGTAGGCAAGAGTCACTGTCCACATCTGTATCCAAATACATCCCTGGAATTTTTTCTGGAGTTAGTTTATTTTTGCAAGTATATTTTTGCCAAACAATGATAGTATCTTCTGAGAAAACTGTTGATGCTGTGTTAAACAAGTTGAAAGAAATACTAAATAGAGTGTATTCTTAGTTGCAAGGCCATTCAAACCTGGATAAGAACTTAAAGTTCCAAAGAAGTCATTTAAATATTCACAAAACTTCTTTAGTTAAGTGAAGTTGATGCTCCCACATTGTGCTATCTGGAATCCTGTTGGGAAGAATTTCACTTTTATTTTGCTTTGGTTGGTGGATTTACTTCGTAGTTTGTTTGATTGTTCCACCATTTTTCCAAGATATGTTTTTTATATCCCTTTAACTGATTTACCAGGGAAAAATATCCTAGATACAACAGACTAAATTAAAGTTTGTCCTGCTGTTTTTTTCTTCGACCTTTTATATATATATATACACACACAAGTATACATTTACATTTTAATATAGAATTCTAAGTTCCCCTCATTACAGCCAATGAACTAGCTAATTCAATACGCTTGAGAAATGTTACCTCTTTACAGAGAGGGTAGAGCCTGCAAACATGTAAAGATAAGAGTTTGACTTCAATAATAATTGCATTAAGCCAGCTTTAGAGTTAAGTTAATCTTTCTGAGGTCTGGACCTTTTCTATGAGACCATGACTAGGTTGCAGGCTTCTGCCAGCACTGCCCTGTCAGTCATGTAGGTGATGAGGTGTGATCTTTGCCATGACGGTTTCAAAAAAAAAAAGGACTATACTGTTAACATACAGTTAGAACAGCTAAACTACTCTTTCTGTTGTATAGGCAATTATGCTTGGAGGAGATGAAACATATGCTGCAGAAATACAGCGTTCCTAATCTATTTTTTTCCTAATTACTTCCCTTCTTATATTGGATTTGTATATCTATCCTGAGAAGGTACTTTTAGATATGGCCTTAGCTAATTAAACTTTTACAGGTGGTCACTCATTTGAGACCATGTCAGCAGAAGATATTTGTTATAGTTACAGTGTCACAAAGGCTTTTACTCTTTGCATTTTTTTTTATTTTATTTAAAAAAAAAAAAAAGGCTCTACTATAAGCTCTGTTTAGAGCACACAAGTCAGTGCAGCTTGTTTTGTCTAGGGAATCCCTCTAAGCTTTTTTGAATAACTTCAGCAGCATCTACTTTAGGGAGACTTTGCCAAGATTACTACATTAGGAAACCTTTCAAATGCAAACCAAGCCTAACAAATGTTTGCTGGCTTCTAATGAGATCTTGGCCTGTTGCAATCCGGTTTCCACATCAAATTCATCGCTCTATCAACTTGCGGGTTAGGGCACGTCCATTAACATGTTTGTGTATTACATCATAGAAATGGGACTTTAGGACTATGACTGCAGGCTTGCCATGTGAATAGTCAAGTGAAATTCTGTCTTTGTGACAGCTGGCAATATTAACTACCCCATATATCAGGTAAGTCTCCTCTATAGAGGAAATGACAGTGTCTGAGGTCCCATGTTGAAAAATACTCCTAATACAAGTCATGCAACTGCAGGGAACACAAAGATGGACTGAAGACAGGGAGTTTGTCTTACATGGCTTACCTTCCTTAGGATTTAGTACTAAGTACTAATTTGAAGAAACAGATGTCTAGGCTTCCTCCAGCTTTGATGAGTGTACTATTAAGATAAATAGTCATGCTTTGTTCTCGTTCCATTGAAGTATTTCTAATGGGCAGTGTTTTCACTTCTGCAGGAGAATCTAGAAGGGTATCACCTAAACATCCCATATACTGGGTTTCTCAAAACAGGAAGTTAGAAATGCAAATCTAGTGCCCTCAAGTAAGAGACAAGACTTGAACGAGACTTCTAATCACTGAGCTACTAGATAAAATATTTGTGAGAAAAGGTTGGCATACATTTCTAATTGTAGGAGAGTTCAGAAATATATTTTGGAGATTTTCACATCTCTACAACTCACATTAAAGGACTTGAATGTCAGAAACATATGGAACTCACGACCCGTCACCCTTTCTTCAGTCTGTAAGAATGGCCAGTCTGGGTATAACCTATCAGTTTTGGTCATTTCTGTGGTAGGCCCTCTGTCACCCAGTGCGGAAAGAGGTGATGCCATTTAACTGTGGAGTAAAGCATCACGATACCAAAGTCTCTCCTTACTTAACCTGTAGCCACTCACAAAAGTTACCCAACTATCTAAATTGAACTTACCTTTACTGGTTCCTTTTTTTTAAATAGTCTACAATTTTAGAAAAACTTAAGAGCTCAGACAAGATCTTGCATTGTACAGTACTTACATATTTTAAGCAGTGAAAGCTGTAAATGATGCATATGTTGGAATGATAATAAGACAAATGGAACCTTTCACTGGGAGAATGCAAACCAGAAGACAGATAGCTTGTTTTGCTTTGGGCAAGGCATGAAGGCAAACATTTAAAATGGAGAAACTCCTCGTTCCTTCTGTGGCCCCTCTGAGCCATTACATTAATTACTTGGAACTATTTACCTACTTCCCTTCATCTAGGCCCCAGGTGTAGACACTCTGGATACTGAAAATGAGTTTCACTCTTTTCACTAGGATGAAAAAAAGAGTATGTGGAAGCACTCTCATCTTTTCCTTTCTGAAATCCATGAATGTGAGGTCATATGGCATCCTAACATATATATCTTATACTTGCTTGTTTTTTTTTTGTTGTTGTTTTTTTTTTTTTTAAAAAACCCATAATAAAATATAAGAGTGGTAGGGGGGTCAGTGATGTTTCTCTTTCAGAGTACAATGAAAATATTTGTTTAGTGTTGTTGAAACAGCAGGGGCAGCTGGCAGTGTCTTCACATTTGTGTGTCTTCTAACACTTCACTAAAGAGATATCCCTAACCTTTATAGAAAGACAAATATCTACTTTTGCAAATTTCCTAACCTGTACTTTTCATGCAGTGCCTCTGACAGTTTTCTCTTGTGATCAGAACGTTAGCCTGTCTTTAAAACATGTCCTTAAATTACAACCAGACAGATCCAGGCATACAGTATTACATATGTGAAGCCAGAGTATTAAAGGAGGCATTATTTATTTAGAAAATAAACAATCAATCACATTAGAAAATTAAAAAAAAAAAAAAAAAAGTCATCACAGCAGAGGTTCAAAACCTTAATTTCTAAATTAGCAGCAAAGAGATCTAAGATTCTTTTTGGTAAGCTGTCTCAAAGCTCTTGCTCAGAGTTCCCCTTCCAACTTCTCTCAAGGAGGAAAAAAAAATGAATTACACCTCTTCTTGTGCTCTTACAGAGAGGTTTTTCTACTATTGATTGTTTTGGAATACAAACAACAGACTGTGGAACACTGACTGTATACGTATCTTTAGATAATGAATAACAGAATCCGTGGCTATTTGCACAAAGTGTATTCAACTTCTCCCTTACCAGTAAAGAATATCAGTCAATCCCAGGGTAGGCCAGGTCATCTAGGGGTGGCTACTGGGGCTGGCTCCCTCCTGTCACAGCTGTCTGGCAGTGGGCCCACCCTCAGGAACAGCCAGCTGGCTGTGCTGTGTGTTTCAGTTTCCTCCAAGTTTTCATATGGACTTGTAAAGCTGTTGAGCTTATTTTTCCTGATCAGCTTATTTGTTGTCAATCCAGAGAGTTTTCCCATTGCTGTGACTGCTGCTGATGCAGTCACTTTGCACTTAGAGTTTTCTCCATGGCTTCTCTACTCTGTCATTTCTGCTGGTCTGCACTGGCTCTTCAGAAAGATCAGATCTGTTTTGTAGATTTTGTTAGGTTTCAGGTCAGTTTAGCACTTCTCTGTTCTGATCTTATCACTTGCCCAGATGCACAAGTTTCTCTTCTCAATCTGCTATCTTCATTAGAGCAACAAATGGCCTCTAGCAGACTGAGACTTTGAGAAAAAAGAAACCTTCCTTCACTTTCTCTTGTATTCCAATAGCATACCTGCCAAACTATACAAACTGTTACAGGGTAACCCTTCATTTAGAAGATATTCTTAGAGCGCAGACACCTGCATTTATCATTAATGATATATACAAAATTTCATTTTAGTCAGACATATAAAACTTCTATGTAGAACTGTTACCAGTAGCAAAGCAAATAGAATTAACTTATTCTACGTTAATCTTCTGGTGTCAAAAGAAAGGTGTAAGTAGCATCTGTCACAAAACAAAACTTAGAATTCCAAAAACATAGATCCACACATTCAAAGGTTTTCAGAAGCAGTATTAGGAGTACCTCACTATAAAGAGTGAGTAATCTCAGAATAGATGACTTCCCAGACATTTGTCTTCCCTCAAATTAAAAATACAATGCATGACTAGAGTACATAAAGACTTTCTTTATATTCCCAACTAATAATCAACATTTTTCCTCAAGAGAAAGATATTTGGCAAATACAAGAAGATATTGTAATTAATTTAGTTATTTTGCTATATTTTAATCTCACTAGATTAATATAGTGTTGCATTTAGTTACCCAGATGAGTGAAAGAGATATCTTGTAAAACTTTATTTTTTTATCCAATCCTGTTTTACTATATGCTGTCTTCTTTTTCAGTAGGACAGTGCTAATATATTTATAATGATATTCATTGCTTTATGCAACCTCATGATCTTAGTTACTTACAGTCTCAGCTCAGTAGCACCAGGTTTCACACATCTGTCGCGTGAAAGTCTCTCCATCTTGTCTTTAATCACTCTTAACTTCTGGACTTTTTCTGTGATTGCAGTATCCTTACTGAGATGGGAATTTGAATGAGGAAAAACGGTCCATTTCCAGGGGAGATGAATTGAAGACCCTGTCATGTGTCACTGGTGGCATCTCTGTGCTGGGTTACTGGTAAGTGCAGAAGAGATCATTACTCCAGCTTCAACCACTCTTCTCAGATTAAAACAATGGTAGTCACAGGGATAGCAAAAGACATTCAGCTGTTTGAACAGCTGTTTCTGTTCACTTCTGAAGAAAGGCAGTCAAATCAGGTGCAGTCATGCCTGCTGGCTAGGTTGGTATAACAACCACTTAGTCATATAAACCATGGCCATCATCACATCTTCGCGTTGCAGACTTCATTGTAAGGGCACTAACAAATTTCATTCAAGTGCTATTCAAATCTGTACCAGTTAATAGAGTCATCTCATTCAGTGTGAATTATTTGGTATTGAGCTAGACTCAAATTCATCTTCTTCAACAGCACATAATGATTTATTTATGCCCTATGACTAAGTTTTTCAGAACCTTCTTAAATCTTGTTGCAGCTTGTCAGGAGCTTCTTCCATGTAGTCCATGTTAACATACTAAAATTTGCTGGCAGGTAAATTTATTATGACTGAAGTCAGGCTGGCATCTGAGCTTGTGTCTAACTCAGGATGTGCAGGATTACTTAGACACTTGAAGCTACTAGTACTATTCCTGCATAAGCAACTTCTTGAAATGGGGCCTCATCACCTGTAAGGATGAACAGCTGCTGAGCTGGAAAAAAGTAAACAAATCCTCTGGTATGGAAATCTGTTTTACATTCCCTACTTAATGTGTAATACTCAACTAATTCTGCCTGTACTGCGTGCACACATTCTGATTCTAATTCCCGTTAAATGATGTCCTGAAGTGTCGAAGTGGAGAAGTCTATAAAGTGTATACGTCTGAAAAAGATAATTATTTTTAAATATGTTTTCCTTGAAAGTGATTACATTAAGCATGAAATCTGTGTGATTCTTCCTCTTTCTGATTTTTGCTACAAATGGAATTAGGCGGATTGTAAAGAATGTTACTGAATTCTTCTGTGTGTTAAAAAAGGAAGTTGGAATTTTTGAGGGATGTGAAGTGTTATCACTGTCACAATATTGGGGGAGAGGGAGGCTAAAGAGCTGAGACATGCTTTCCAATAAATACAGTGCTCTTCAGGCACAAAGACTTGGGAAGGAAACAATTCTTTCTAATTAGGAAAGTAATTTTAAGCAGAAAAAGATGTAAAAGCTTAAGGACTGTTCTTGTCAGAGAGAGATGTTTCTGAGAAGAATTAGGGCAATAGAGGATTATTGTTTTGTTAAGCCTTTGATTGAGATCTCAGACTTTCATCAGTTCTGTAACAATACAGGCAAGAGATCTAAGGCTCAAACACATCTCCAGAAAGGAGATCTTGGAAAAAGAAAATAGAAATAAACCCAGACTTGGATTTGGCTGGTGGGTATTTATAACTCACAGCTGAGAGCCAAGGGGAAGTTTTTCCATGATCACCCCATTATTTAAAAAAAAATGGTCAGGAAGAAAATTTTGCTTTTGTTTTCCCCAAACAAAACAAAACAAAACCTCTTAGTTATTTGAAAAATTCCAAACCAGAACATAAAAGATCCTTTAGAGGAAAACTCTGGAGTTGTCATTTAAAGGCTGCTCTGACTATAATCAAGATTAGAGCTTTTAATGAAGGCAAAGCTCATTTATCTGATCAGATCCTAACATAATGGTCTAGCATGTGATATTATTCTATATAAGTTACATAACACTTTTTGTTTAAGCACACGCTTTTCCTTCAGTAGCATGAACAACATTTTTAACCTGTTCAAATCCTTAAGAAATGTAAACAGATTTGAAGAGGAAAAATGGTTATTTATTAACAAAAGGGAAAAAAAACAAATATACAAAAACAACCAAGTCACAGAAAGTTGTTGTTAAGATGAAAGCAAGACAGGAAACTAATAAAGAGGATCAGAGAACCTGGAAATAAATGTTGACAGACTTGTGCATGGGCAGTTTAAAATCACATACTATTAAGCATTAGCTTTTTGATTAAGTGTTTGCACACAAGATTGCTTTTCCCTAGTAAATGCTAGAGATTATCCACAACTCATTTGTGTTTGCAGGTTTTCTGTGAGTATGTGTGGGTACATCTTACCATTTATCAGCCACCATGCACAGAGGTCACAAGTCCCCTGCCTCATTAAAAGACAGTGAGCCAATTGAAAAACAACTCCGTTCTCCCTTGGGGCATCTGAACATATGGTGCAGGAGTAGTATGGTTAATTTTGAAACAGTCAGATCTGGGAAGAGGCTAAACAGTTGGACAAAAAGTGGGTAATGTAACTAGATACTCAGAGAGATAACTCTTGTCAGCCAATTTTCCTGTTTTGTCAACAGAATTGGTAGGCTACAGCTTCAAGCTTCTCAGGGTGTCTTATGAACTGAGAAGTAAAGACAGTAAGTTACAGTGCTAAAAGCTATAGTGGAACAATAAAAACAGAAATGTGACCCTGCTCCCATGTGGAAATGTCTCAGAGCTTCATAAAATCAACAGCAACTGAATATACAGTGCTGGCATACAAAGACACAGAACATGATGTAGGAGCATTGTAGCATCAGCATGTTTGTTACTTTCAGAAAACACAATGACAGAAGAGAAATTTGTTGATTGACTCCTTACAGATCTGCCACGTTAAATGTTAATAAATTGCACAATGCAGGCTTTTAACATTTGCCATTCCACAACTTACAGATATTGACTGAGTAGGAAGGGTGCTGGCTGGTATAATGTTTTTTGCAATGACATGAAAATATGTTGCCAATTCCTGTTATTCAGATTACTTTTTTCTAGCACTTTTTTTTTAATATTTGCATGTAAAAAAAAAAAAATGTTAAACTTCTTGCTGCCCTATTAATCCTTCTTTTATGCTGGGAAGCTGCTGTTGTCTCATGAACACGTTTTGTCCATGAGAATGTCTTTGATCTATCATTCTGTATATCCTTTTCCAAGCTAAGGAACTGCAATACTTTCATCCAGCTTTAAAAATAAAATAGTCACTAAAACTTTTATACTCAAATGCAGACCTTAAGGATTTTGTTTAGAATGGTCCTCTAGGGAACACAGTGAAAACAATATCTCTTGAGACAACAATGGAGAAGCTTTCATCAGCACTGAGAATGCAGCTATTCATTGCTTCTGCAGCCAAATAAATGCTCTCTGGTTGGAAGTGCCTTATATTCAATCAAAAAAAAAAACCTTTTTTTTTTGATTCTTCCCCTCCCCACCATGTCATGGTGATGAATATTTAATTGATTCTGTTTAACTGAAAGACAAAAAAGTTAGCCAACACAGAATACAACTTCAAATAAAAGGATACTTTAGTATGAGACTATGTCACGATGCAGTAATGTAAATAATGTTGTAGAATGGAGAGCAGCACTTTTCAGTCTGTTTAATACTACGAATTCAAACTTTTCCATGAAGAAAAGGTCAAAACAAAATGTTAAAGAGTACACCTTAAAACTAACTTCTGTGTCAGATATATAAACTCATTACTTTTTGTTACATTCTTAACTAACAAGCTGGAATGAGGTTTCAGAAAAGTCTTCTTACAATATTTGCACCATGAAAGCATAATATCCAAAACGAAAGTATTTCTGCTACTGGAGAAGGGTGAGGGGAGGCAATGGACAGAGGAGACATTGGAATGGAATAAATTAAACATCTTTTTCTCCACCTTCACGAGCTGCACAGAGTGCTGAAAGGGAAAGAGAGCCACATACAGTTCCTTCCTTCCACAACACAACAAGGAGAGTGCCTGACTTTGTTGTCCAGCTCCAGAAATAGATGTGTTTTCAACTTCTATGCACAAAGGTATGAGCGCATATACAGATGTAGCCGTATGTATTTGTACTCCACTTATTTCCACATGCTCATACTCAATGGTGAAAGCCTACCTGTAACTTTGTCAGTCACCCGTAGCCTGCAAGCAGTTCAAACACAGCTTCAGAGCCACAGTTACGCTTTGTCATGAGGAGAACAGCAGTGATAATGCACAGATAGACTAAATCCCTGAGAAACGGCAACATAGCTAGGAGTATCGAGCCTGGCATCACTGGATTGTACTGATCAAGTTGTGTGCCGGCATAGAGAAGACACCTGGAAGCCATTTCCTGCTTGTGAACTGATCTCCCTCCCCCTTCCTCTCAAATATAAGTACATGCAATGTGGCTTTTGGCCACAGTGAATTTTTTGGATTTGTAGTGTCAGGAAGGTTTGCTTTAAAGGCACAAACCCAGCCCTTTCCTTAAATATAAAACTTCAAAAGACCATTATTTTTTTTCTTTTGATGCTTTTTTTTTTCTTCCCCTCAGTCTCTTTTTGACTTCAGATTTTTCCAACTGAAAAAGTCTTTACAATTTCATCTTGGAACTAGCAAATGAACTTTAACAGAGTAAAGACTGCTTAGGTACTGACCTGAGCTTTCACACTGCCAATCCCAGAGCCACTGATTGTTGCTTTCTAGCTATACCTCACTAACACATAACAGGTTAAGGCTTTACCCCTACTCCCCCTTCTTTCTCAAATACTTGAAGTTTCCTTGGCTGTGCAAAGTAAGCACATATTTTGTCCATGAGAATGTTTTTGAGCAGTATCTCTTCTGTCAGTTAGGTTTCTCTTGTGCATTGTAATTCTTGCCAGGAGACATCTCCTACTTTTTTTTTCCCCCTTCCTCCACTGGAAACATTTCATTTGGCAGAATGATCTTTCTGTTTTAGCTATTGGGTAAGGTTTTGCCCACCTGAAATCACCAGCAGCCACCGAATTAAAAGATGCCAAAATTTTTACCTCCTGTCTTTTAAAACACTTTTCTATTAAACTGCTGCACTTAGAAAAAAAATAATAGCAGAGATTGAGCACTTGTGTATTTCTGACACAAGTTTATAACCACCAAATTATTAATTTGTCTTTTTGCTAAAAAGAATTTCAGGTTTCATAACTGAAGGCTAGAAATTCTTGAAAACAAATATTAAAGAGAAAGCCAAATTTTTGGAGGCCAGTAAAAATGGTTTTGTAAGATCTTATACAAATTTTAACTCTTAAATATTCTTCAAGATTTTGAAAAATTACATTTCCTTAAAGATGTTTTTTAAACATACAATTCATCAATATCATTACATGATCATCCTATTGCAGCAGTTATTTTAATAATTGCTTTTCATCCCTTTACTGGTGAACCATACCTGCAAAGTCTGAATCCAGGCTTAGCCTTCAAGTCTTTCTGGGGAAGGTAGGACCTCACAGGAAAGTCACACTCTCACTCTTCAGAAGCATTAATAGTAACATAAAGCACAGGTGAGGGATAGTACCTGCATAAGAAGCCAAACAGGACACTAGCCAGCACAGCAGAAGCCTCACCAGGTAGGGCCCTGTCCCAACAGAGCAGGGAAGGAAGGTTTAGGAGTAGCAGCAAGGGCTAATCAGAAATCCAGATACCAAACACACCTATAGCATAGCTCAAGCAGGAACTGAAAGCCAAAGACTGAGCTTAAATGAAGCCCCTGAGGCCATGGGTGAGGTGGAAGCCCCAGGTGAGTCTGGTCAAGGCCATCATGTCCTATTAGTGCTCTCAGGGCCCTGACATAAGTCAGTGGAACATCCAATCTCATATTTTCATATGCAAGCAAAAAAAGGGAAGAATTATGATTGTGGTTTGACCTGTGCTGCATTTTCTGACCTTTGAGTGCCTGATTTCTCAACCATGACATTACAGTAATGCTATGTCTACCCATAGTTTATATAAACACAGAGTATGTTAAACAACTGACTTATGATGTGATACTTTTGTTCCCACTGAATTCTAGACCATCTGTGTACTAAAGAATTTCTGGACTTGGAAAGCAGGTCTGATCTCTTCAGTTCCTTCACTAAATAGTTGCAGATATTCCTGGAGTATTCTTCTGTATGTTCTTTGACATTTATATTTCATTCTTTTTTCTTCACTGCAATTAAGCATCTGATGGACTTGGACTTGAAAAGTATTTGTCCATCTTAAACTTTCAAAAATCTCTACTTACATGTTTTTCAATTTATGAAAATTAATGCACACTTTTTTTCCAAAGACTGAAGAGTTGCCACAGCAAAGTTTCAGGTCACCTGATTTCTGAGGAACAGTTTGGTCTATGTTTATTGATAAGCAAGGTTTTCTTTTTCATCTTTTCCAAGCTGAAGAAATACATATTGCTATCTCATATTCTGGGACACAGAACAGGATATCAGCAGCACTGCAACATGAAATTAAAACAGGTGCTGTATGTACCTCCTGGAATAACTCTTTTTCACTCGGTAAAGCGTCCGGTCAGTGAACTGTATCCCCCCACTTTACAGGTAACAAAATGTATGATTCTCCTGTTGGCAGACAGAACATTTGAAGCACTACCAATTTACACAAAGTTCTCTCTAAGTAAATATGGGCAGAAAGAGTCCATTTCAGTGCCTCACAGGAAGGGATTTGGTCCCAGCAGACTGTTTTGGCACTGACTGGAGCATAGTCAATGTCTTCCCTTGGTCTAGCTGTTTCCAGAACTGACACTTTGTTTTGATTTTTATAAGGTAGTACGAATTAAAACAGCAGGTGCATAGCAACACCTTTTTAAAATGAGGAGTGTTTGATACCGGTAAATGTGTTTACCCAAGAGTAACATTGCTGATCTTTGGCTTTCCTCTCAGCCTGTACAATATGTATATTATACAAAATAATTAACCCCCTAGCTTCTGATTAAAGAATTGCAAAAAGTGTGTATAAAAAAAGAACACAAAAATCACAAGTCAGAGAAGTTATGGGAGACCATCAGGAAAAGAGGACTCAGTGTGGTCACTTGAATAATATCACTTTACTCTGCATTTCTTAATAGTAATGCCGTCAACCTTGGAAAAACTGGACATGGCCTGATAATAAAAAGGTGTATCTGAAAGGAAAGAAAAACTACAAAGAACCTACACAACATTAAATTGAAAGAAAAGTGTGGACACAGACACAAGCAAAATGCAATTCACATCCAGTGGAAAATTGAGGGTTCATTGAATGCAAGGGTTAATGAAGGGATTATAAGAATGAACTCCAGGCGCTTCAATGGATTCAATTCCCCTAGTTTGTTGGGACAACAAAAAAGCTGCATATCTTTGTCTCCTGCAATCGCTTTGTTCATTACTCTCTTAAATCCCCAAAACAAACAGCAAACAACCCAAGTCCTCCTGACACCAGACATAGTCTTGCTATTATGAAGGTTCCACTTGTAAAAAATGCTCTTGTCTATTTCTGTGCTTTTTAACATTTTATCCTCTTACTAGGTTGAAGGTCAACTGAGCTCACAAAGAAAATATTGTAATTTGTTTCGCTAGCAAACAAGTAGTTTGCCAGAGACATGCTGCGTCAGACTGCAATAGTGCAGGCTTTATGTTTAACCCAAGTTTGATTTAGAATTCTGAAACGGCATCTCAAGGCCTGTTGGAAATGTGTACCCTTTGAACCCACTTTAAGCACCCAGAACATCATCTACAGGGCCTTTGCTGCTTAGCGATTACAATTTACTTTTTGTATTTCTTAACATTTGTATTCCTATACATTATATCATATAAATATTCCTATACATTTTTGCTATACATTTTCTGCTAGAACAGGTTCAATGCATTTGTTTCTCTTTCAGCTACTGGGGCAAACCGTTACATTCCAATTTTTTCTCATATGTTACCAAGTAGGACAAACCCTTTTGCATTCCTCTCCACAAGTCCAGCAGTTCTTTTGCTTACCTCAGGCCTGCTGTGTAATTCTATTCCCAGTTATTCACCAGTCTTTCCATCTTCATCCAGCTGCATCTTCAACTGAGGGAAAGAAAAGAATTTGGGTTATCACCTGATGCCTGGTAAGCTCCTCCCCGCCTTTTCCTCATTCTACTTTTTTTTGGTATGGTACCAGAAATGCAGCCACCCTCCTGTAACATCTACCAGCCATTTCAGATATTCATAGTCAAGTTCCTGATTTGTTCATCAGTTTGTTTCAGGGAATCATTTTTGCATATTTAAAGATCCTCCCACAGAACCATTACAATCAGACAAGCAAAGCAGACTGACAGTCAGAACATGGAGTGGAACACGAGGAAGAACTTGGTGTAGGTCTTAGTCACTGAGACTTCCTTCCAGAGAGTGAGTCCAACGTGGGAAGTTGGTCTGTCTAGGTTGGTTCCAGTAGCGCAGATTCTTGTGTATAGTGGCAAGACTGCAAGGGGCAAGCTGTCAAACTAGTGTCTCAGGCAAGTGTCTCAGGTCCTTTCTGACGGAGAGATTGTCTGGATTTTGTCAGATCTCTGTTAGTGGCCATACCTGCCACCAAATCAAAAAAACAAGTTCAATAAAGGAAGGAATGATTTAATGTCTAGGAATGGGGCAGGAAAGAGTGTTAACTGGGCTTGACAAAGCATAATTCTAGAACAGGAAGAACATGTAGAAGTAATTTTGTTATTATCTTCAGTTAACCAACACATAATATAAATTCTCTGCATCACTGAATTTTCCAGTCTCTTCGTGGCTGCTCTACCTGAACGGTATTTCATGTCTCTCATTCTGAATGATCAGACTCCACACTTTCTGATGGAAAACACCAGAGCTTAAAGAGAAATCCAACCCACATGACAGAAAGAGAAGGATTTCTAGAAGCTGTTTATTAAATACTATTTTTAAATAGTATTTTTTTAAATAGTAGTTGATCTCAGATATTAATGTCTTGATCTTGTTTCAGCTCTGTCCAAGCTGTTAATAGGCTGCATTCTGCAGAAGTGTCTCTTAATCTAGTAAATTCAGATGCATTGTGTATATGTTTTACAGGGGCAAACCTATATATTTGAAGTCAATGAGCTTAAACTGTGCAGCATAATTAGAGGAATGAGCCTCAGGTTGCTTTGTCAAAACATTCTTTAATTGCTGGATTTTAGGATTATTGGATTAGAAGATTAAATGGGATGCCTGGAAATCTTAATTTGGAGCATCAAGTAAAGTAAAGCTTCTCATGAATGAGCACAATGTCTCTATAAACCTCAGTTTAAATCAGCTGCTGTAGTGGTTGTTCAAAGATATTTTCATGCTAGGACAATGGGATACTATATTTTCTTTGTTCCTTCATTCTCTCTCTCTCTCTCTCTTTTTTTTTTTTTTTTTTTTTACACATTTTTTAATTTTAAAGAACTTGTACTTTCTCCCTGAGAATCAATTACCAACTTTTGTGTAGCCATGGGTGCTACAGTCACTCTGGGCATGGTCTGTGAATCACTAAGCTTCCTTGTTCATATGTTATTAAAGGAGTCCTGATACCAACCAGACATTCACCTTTCAGTGGATGTTAATCACTTAATTATATTGAGATCAGTAAGCACAGATATGATTTCTATGGCATTCTTTCATTTACAAGACAATCTTTCATCAGAGCATTCCACATTGGTTAAATACTATTTTGGGGTCCCAAAGATGGGGACCTACAGGCTTCCCCCCCCCCCCTTTTTTTTTATGTCAGTGCAGGAGTGGATTCACTAGCAAGTGCAGTCTCCACAAATGGAACACAGAAAGTTGCTTTATCATTCTAGTTTATCTCACTTTCAGGGGAGACACAGTACTTCACTCCTTAAAGTGTCTGTCGTAAAGCTTTCTACAGCTGCTTGTGCTCTCCCTGCTTGGTCCAACATTGTGCATACTGCAGCTGTAATGATGAAGAACACAAGCAAGACTGTGTATATACGTTTGTGTTTAAGCAGAAAAGTAACGTCACAGTGATGTGTAGATTATCATCAAGGAAGGAAACTTTGGGCTCTGGTCCAAATCCTTCTTAAGAAAAATGCTCTGAAGTTGGTCATGTCAACATTGAACACATATACCTGGTGAATTTTGCTGAGAGTTCTGAACCTATAGTTTTAGAGTCCAGATGTTTCAACTGGGACAGTTAATGCACTAGCTATGTTGATCTTTCCTGAAGTGATTTCATAATTCTTAGAAAGATGACTTCAAATGAAAGAATTTCAGAAGTTATACTGTCACCAAGTTTTGCAAAGTAAACAGGAGTTTAGTTCACAAGCAATATGGAGGCAGCTGTGCTAGCCATATTCCCAAGCCATTAACAGAAAGCCATCAGCACTTCGAAGTACCATGTTCCTCTATCACTTAGTATTTGCATTCAAAATAAAAGCCAAAAAACTAAAGGTATCCCAGTGATGTAGATAATGACTGTCTGAACAGTAGGATCAGTATGATAAATCATATTCTTATTTTCTGGAGTAAAAGAAAAAATACTCTGATGCAATTTTGGTGTCTTTTAAAATCAACTGGTATTTTTGTCACTGATTTTCACAAGGCCGGAATTTTGCCTTTTGGGTCTGACAGTCCTGTCAGGATTTAACTGAATTAACAGAATTGTATGTAGTGATAGCATCATATTTTCAAACTGACATTGTAGGAATAAAAAAAGATAGCAGTTTATCACTTCCTTCTTTGGTGATGGATCTCTATCAAAAAGAAGCATTCTCACTAAATGCCCCAGTATTATTCCCAAAGAGCATAATACCAACTGCATGTGTTCTGGGGGTCAGTAGAACCACTGCTAACTTCATGTCAATTGATCCTTCCTGAGTACCACTGGCTCTAGAAAGCCAGTTGCCTTTTTTGGCTTTTTTTCCCCTTAAAAGACATAGAAGGCATAGTTCTGAAGATTTTTCTATTATTATTTTTTTAGGCTTTTTAGGCTTTATTGCTATGACAATTCCTATGTTTCTGTGGCAATAACTCCATTCCAGAAGAATCAAATTTGAAAATGGATTCTTATAATGTAGCACCAAACACACCACAACATGATCTTCCTTCTTTCTCATGCATGTTAACTGTAAAAAGTTTCTTTGTCCAGAATGTGGCTCTGATTACATTTCTCTATCCAAAAATAAACACGGTGCAAAAAAGAAAGATACAGGCAGGGGAGGAAAGCCTGTTAGCGGGCCACCCTCAGGAAAACCTCACAAGATCTACTGTCTGTCTCTGCAAGCCATGGAAGAGCTGAGGAAGTGATCCCAGCTTGGTGGTCTTATTTTTAATTAAAACAAATGAGGCTCTTTCAGCTGCTGCAGATAAATATTTGATGAAAAGAGACAGGGACAGATGTCAAAAACTGCAGTAAATAAAGAGTAAGACCAGAAAAGCAAATGTTACAACAGCATTTTATATACGAAACAAAGCATGTTTACAAATTTCTGTCAAATATATTTCCATCCAAGGCCTAATTTTACTAAGATCATTTTAAAAGCAGGAAAACTAATTGTTTGTAATCACTTTGCTGACATAGAATGAAAATACAAACACATGTATCTAAAGAAAAATTTAAAAGTCACCTTGTTGATTGGTGATTCAGGTCAGTAGCAGCTAGGTGAATCAGTATAATCCAAACCATGAAAATGCAAACTCTAGAGTTAGGAATGAATGAAGATCAGAAATCATCTATTTGACTTTGAATGTGATTAAGAAGAAAAAGTAAAAAAGTTGATTGCAGTGCAAAAGAATATACAAGGAGATACTACAGAAGTATTCAGTCTAACAGTAGGCACAGGTGAAGACAGAGCAACATCCAGTAACATAAAACAAAAAACAAATAAGTTCAGATGAGAAACAAATTTTAAACACTGAGGAAAAGTAACCTCAGATTGTAGTGGGCTTTCCATAATTCAATGTAGTACCTTGACCCATACCCTTGACTTCTAATAACTATGTATTGGTTGCACTGAGAGGTATGGAGCCCTGTAACAACTGTGCAAGGTGCTTTGTAGCTTGTATGATCATTAACAATAAATGACCATAATAGCTCCTTTGGCCCACAGCACTTGTGAATAGGTAGCATTCAGGATAACATGGTATCTCAAGTCTCTTGAAGTTTTCTGAAACGGACACAAAACACCTAATCCATGAGTGATGCAAAATACCTGTCCACTTCCTTATTGCAAATTTCAGACAAAATCAGACATCAAGTCTCAAGTGCAAAACAATTTTAATTTGGATTCACAGTGACATATCAGATTTATGGTATTATGCTCCTTAGAATGTATAAAAATTACAGATTCATGGACGTCTGCTTTCTTATTTTTTTACCATAAATCTTATATACTGAAGATCCCGCACGATTGACTGGCATGTTGTGAAGGGTGTAGGGCTCCTGAATTGTCCAAGTGGGGCAGTATCTCAAACTGAGCTACCTGATGTTTAGAAATCGAAACCAAATGACCTAATTTATTCCACTCAAAAGTTTTGTGAAACGCTAGAAGAGAGGGGGGACAGTCAGGTCCCCCATTAGACTGTCTGAGAGATCTTCTTCATATCAGCCTAATGTTTAGGTCTCCAGTGATTTAAAAAAACTGAGATTTTCCATTTACTTTAATAGAGATAGGACTGGGCACTTTAACAGAGATAAACTGCCCAAATGTTGAATCTGTGTTCAATTACATATTTTATTATAAATCCAAAATCTTTTGGCAGTGAAGAGACTCATTCATCAAGGTATCACTCTGGTTGCCAGAATTACCAAATTACTTTTTCTGATTATAACATGTTAAAAATACAAGATAACATGGCAAGCAATTTAATCAGATGAATAAAAGTTTAAGATAATCTGACCTGTTATAAATAATTTGTTACCAATACACAAAGAGAAAGGGAAGGCCTTGGGCAAGCAAACAATAGCTGGACAATCTTATTTGACATTTATTAACAAAGTATTTACGGATGTATGAAAAAAAAAAAAAAAAGTAGTGCTCCTAGGAATTTGCTTTTTAAGTTTCTTGATAGTTAACAGGGCACTCAGTTACAGATAAGCAACTGGTGGCTGGTACTGAAATCATCATTGACTCTGTATTTCATGAACTAAAATGAAGCCAGAGTTCAATTCTGCCTTGTCTCTTAAGTAGCAGAAGCTATGGATGCTGAGGAGACCATAAAAGAATTTTACAGTTTTTTCCACAACAGTGTTTTTTTCAAATGGCAGTTGCATAATCCTACACCTCTTACTTACAAAGGAGTTTACAGGTAAGATGTAAAGGAATTATTCAATAAGGAAAGGGACAGTGCGACTGAAATTAAAAAAATAAAAATAAAATCCTGAAATAAAGATCAAATATAAAAAACTCAATAGCATCTTCACTGGGCACAAATTTACTTGTGATCTGATGGAACCAACCTGAACCCGACAAGTGCTGAGAGATAACAGTTTGTCAATTTCCCCTTTCAAAGGCACTGTGATAACTGAAAGATTCCAGATATATCACATGGAAATCAAACTTGCAGCAAACAGCAAACTTTCTGATAAAGGCCTAAGCCTAATTCCACTGAAGTCAATGACAAATCCCAGCAGCTTTCAATAGAACTTGAGCAAAGCTCAAGGTGAAAAACACCTCTAAGAACAGCTGCAGTCAACTAAATCCCAAGTTAGAACAGAAAAACTGGGAGAGGATACTTCACATCAGAGGTACCTGTGGTGGGAATTCACAAAGAGTGACTTGCAAGGATCTCTGATACTGAGCACTTTAGGAGACTGTTAAGGAAGCTGACAACGTTCAGCAAGGTCAACATGTCCCCAGTTTGCATGGCATTACCATGTGCTGCTGAGCATTTTCATGGCACCTGACAGTAGTTACCCTCTTTATCTAGTCTCAGGCAATCTACAGGCTATCAACACAAGCTGTAGCCAAACTGTTGTACTAGACTGTAAACACAGTGTGGCTGATGAAGCAGCTAATAAAATGAGCAGGCAGAAGGGGCAATGTTTTCTCTCTTTTCTAAGCGAGTGTAAGGAGTATAAAGAAGGGTAGAATGTCAAATTAAAGACATGGTCAGTGCGAGACATGAGGGAGGCATGGAATTGATATGCATGCTACCTCTCTATGTCTAAAACTGAATATGATTCTACAGCTAGACTGTGATTCAGCCTCAGATCAGCAAAGAACAACTACACTGGGTTTACATGTTGCAGTTGCAGATAAACACTCAAAATAGCCTTGTGCCAGTTCTGTGCTACTGGAGCTATGTCTAAGATGTATTGCCATATACACATGAAACTGAGCAATGTTTCTAAGGAAATTCCTTTCTATTTTTCAGAATGCAAAGGAAATGGATGGGAGACATGTTTGGTCTTCACAATCATCAATGATGCATTTTATTGAGTTTTCACTTCTGTGAAAAACTTTTGTGCTAGGTGAAATACAAGCAAAGAGGAGAGAATAATTTACCCCAATTCCTTGTTTAAAAAGTTTAAGAGAAGGCCCCATAATCATTCCCTTCCCTCTTTTACAGATAAAGTTTAGGCAGACAGAAATTAAAGGACTTACCACATTTATGCAGCACAGTCAGGATTTGAACTCAGAACTTTTAAGTCCAACCCCCCAGTGCCTCAACTACACATTCATTTTCTTCTTTGTATTCCCCACAGTCTTAGGCCATGTGGCCACTATTGGTAAAAATGAAAAACAGGTGCAAATCCATGAACAGATGGGAGACCAGCCCTGGCTGATCTCTGGAGGATAATACAGCGTTGCTCTCTGGCAAAGAGGATTCCAAAGAACCACAGAGGCAGCACCCCTGCCCTAAAACTGAAGCTACTCTGCCACACAATAAACATTATTTCTACCAGCCCAGCAAGTGAGAGTATTGAGGCATGCACAGTCTGTTGTCTGTCAGCAAAGGACACTGCCTTACTGACCTCTCAGACTTGCAATATTGACATCTTTGTTTTTCAGGCATGCCTATAAAGATTGAAGGAGACTAATTGCAATTCCATTCTTTGTAGTAACTGCAGCCAACATTTCGCAGTTGCTGAAACATGAAATTTCTTCCCTCGAATAGACAACTTTGGAATGTCTGACCCTCCAAAAATGCCATTAGTCATATGCAGAATTAGTCTCTGGGAAAATCACTAGTGGAATGAAATAAATCAGCCAGGTAAGATGAATAATATATTTATTCTGGATCCATAAGACCAGATCCACTTTTGATTTCTAGTTCATGTGGAACTGATGGCTTAGTCTGTAATATGTGGCTAAATGGAGAACTTGGACTGCTTTCTGAGTGGGAAGGTGATAGAAGATAACTAACAGGGCAATTGCATGGCCCTAAACACAGGACAGCTGGCTAAGATGCAAAGTCCTTCCCTGCTTTATGTGACCACAGATGTGATTCCTGTAGGTGACAAGAAACCTTTTTTTTCTTCATATATCACCTGCAGGTATACATCTACCAAAAGATTTAAAGAAGTCATGGCATTCTTCAATTTCTATGGATCCACACAGAACACATCAAACCTGAGAATATAGCTTATGCAAGAGGACAGGGTTTCTTTTCCTCCTTGCAAAAATACTCTTTAGTGCTGTGTCTGAGGTTAGTTAATCTTGCTGAAGCTGCCTATTCAGCAAAAATGCACATCCACTTGTGCCAAGAAACTCAAGTAGGACCTGCTTCTTTAGACTCCATTTAAATTGGGGGTACAAAACCTGATTTGCCACTTTAGATCAAAAAAAAATACTGCTAGTATACATGCATTCTGCTCATGCTGAACTGTAAATCAAAGTAGTTGGGAAAATCTATCTTATCCCAGTTTTGGTCAGGTTTTGAAGGAAAACATTCTTCACACATGACACTAATAGAATTTAACAGTAAAGACCACCCAGGACACTGGGAATCTCAAACTGCTTGGCCTCAGGTTGTCTGTTTTGTTCTTCTCAGCTTCACATGTGCGCTTCGAGAGACAAAAAAGAACATTTGCTTCATTTTGAACTTGGATTTCTCTTTCAGCTGAACGTTCACGAAACCAGCCGGTCTCAGAGTTGGAATGTTCCAAATCCCCATTTGGAGCTGAGTACGTATGTTATGGAGTCAGTTGTGACACCACTTTATAGAGAACAGACAATGAGTTTTGGATCTTGTGAGTACCTTTCCTCCCTGTAAAGAAGAACCCTTCCCCCACTCTTTTGGAAACATCTCAGTCTGTATTGGAAACAGAGGATGTAATTTATTTTTATCGCTTTCCCTGTCAAACTGGCCAAGTGCCACAGGTTTCTGCTTTCAGATGTAGCAAGAGGCAGAGAAATCACAGTGCAGTGCCATTTATGTCAGTGGCTCCTCCTCTGTTTTCTTATCTTATTTTTGTGGCTACCTACTGAGTTATCTTATCACTCTTTATAATCCTGCAAAACTCTGCAACTTGACCCCTCCACAGAAAGAGCTGACCTGCTTAGACCTCCCTGCTCTCTACTCCTGCTCCCTTCCTTGCAGAGCAAGTTGCTCTGTCCTTTGTTACTTTACAGCTTCTTTCTTACTGCCTATCTTACCCCCTCACTCCTTTTCCTAGCTCATTACATTACATTTCCTAGCTGAATGTGCACTCAGCTGTGTGGCCTCCTTGGAGTACGCTTAATTTCTCACTGTCCAGCCCGCTCTTTGATGTCTGATGAAGAAGGATACATCTTCTTTTCCATCTCTTCACATATGCCTATTAATTACTCTCTTCAGAGAGGCTGTTTACTGACTATCACTCTGTTTACAATTGAATACAGCTAAACATTTGGTCTTCACAATTCCCCCTCTTCTACACCACCCACCCAGTTTCTTCCCAGTTGTTGCAAAATAGATGTCTCCAAATCACTTTATAAAATCACAGATGCAACATACTTACTTTCCCACACCCACCCTCCTGCTTTCAAACACTGTATTCTCTTCACTCAGAGAGAAGTAAAGTAAGTCTTTATATTGGTATTTCTGTCTCCAGTTCTCTAATAAAAACGCAGCAGTGAAGCTTAACAATTTGACCTGTTGCACATATCCTTACCTTGTGAATTGTGGAACACCCAGAAAGATCTGTGAGCTTCAGATTTCTGACCTGTGAAGAAAAAATATGAACTCAGTACAAAATACAAAAGTATGCCCACTCAAATGGGACTACGCATAAACTATACATATGGTTTCATGGGATCAAGGGCCTTTGGGCGGAGGGAATTTTAATAGGATGGGGTGACTAAAAATTACTCCAGCAAACATATAGAAGGGAAGAATTATATGGTTATAATACTGCAACTTAGATCTAAGATGAAAATTCCTTCAGATGTCCTTCTCATTGTTCCATATGGAGCTTAAAATATTACAGAATAATGTGAAATAAATTGAAAACATATGTGGGCTAAATTATGGTATTTTTTTTTTCTTCTAATGAACAGGTTATTGATAATCTTTTACCATTTGTATTTGTGGAAAGGAAAGAAGCAGGTACCTTAAAGAGTTTAGGAACTGATTTATGACAAGGTATATGAAGCACACCAAGTGTGGACATGACTAGGAAAGAGTGAGAGGAAGACAGTCAGTAAGAGGGGCATGCACGGTCCACCAGTGGAACAACCTCCATATCCCCAAATCATTTAATCTGTGTCTTGGCATGGCATCCTTATCTGTACAGTTAGAGATGGTTACACAAGTTGCCTGTTGCTTTCTAATTTTAGTTCCTGTTTTTAGCACCTATTACTTTACAGAATTTAACCATGGGAACCATCCTGAGAATTTGTGTTGAAATCTTTAAGGTTTTGCAGCAAAAATAACCTAGCCTTTCTGATAATTTGATTAAGAACTGTTGGTTTGTATATATCTCTTCTTTGTTATTAATACTACAGAATTTTACTGCCCATAAATTACTGCTTGCAAATGAGAATGGTAACAGTCTGTTACAGTATGTGTTTGTAGGGTCTTGAGTCAGGAATGTCCTTTTTCCCTGAAAATGGCCTGTTTGACCAAACTACTGGTTCAATAAGCTTATGTTCAATATGGGCTTACTAGATTTGGGTTGAATGTGACTTCCCATGTAATTACTCCTGCCAGCCCCTAAGGTGAGTGTAATGCTGCATGCTGGCACTGAGAAGGACTTGCTCTCCATTTTCCTGTCCCCACTGCTTGCTACTGCTCACTGCAGAGGAAGAGCCAACTGCTGCTTTACCTGAATGAGGCGTGACAGAGGCAGCCTCAGCACTGGGCCTGGAAGGAACAGCAGTCAGCATGGATCAGGCTGGAAGTGAAGACGACCGGACCTAAAGCTGTAAGCCTGAAGGGACAAACCCTCCAAGATCGGCAAGTGGCCAGGCAAGAAGTGGCACAGGTATGAGGGGTAGAACTGCCTCTAACAACTGTGGAAACTAGAAGAAACCTAGTGTTGTTAAATATCACCATTGCTCTTCACACTGGCATGGTAGGCCTATACTACATTAACCATTTCATTAGGTAAGCAGCAGGGGCATGTACCAGGAAACTGAAAGTTTGAAGCTTTCTCATGACCAATATTATTTAGAAACTATATTTAGAGGCAGTGAAATCGAGCTGGTGGGGTAGGGGGACAGGACAGAGGCAAGTGAAGGTGGTAGTCAAGGAAGAGCAATGGAAGCGTGCCGAGAACGCTCAGTTTGCACAACCTTAGAGTTAAAAAGCCAACAGCTACAGAAACAGTAGAATTAAGCAGCGTGCAGTTTTGCTTATTTTTCATCCATTATCCTGGATATGTAAAATAACTAAGCCACAAAAATAGACAGCAAAATACAGCAGACACATGCTATTTTGGGCTTCATTCACACTTGTTTCCCTGATACCCCCGATGCTCCTATAAATGCCGTTTCTGTGTTTATATATATATCTCTATATAAAAATACTTTATATTAAGAGCTCTATTGATACGTTTTTTATACTCCTATATAACAGGATAATGACAGGCACTAATTTATATTGTGTATAGTTACTGTACTTGAATTTTATGACACATTTGCTGTTCTTGTGTGCTAGAAAAGGAATAAGCATTTAAAAAACTTTGTGTATAATTACACTTTCAGCTATTAATTAATCATATAAACAAATTAAATGGACATTTAATTAAATGTTACTCTTTTAAAGATAGAAATAGAGCCCATGGACTTCAAATTGATACTGTGTGCATTTGTTTTAATTAGGTAGTGTTAAGAATTAATGGACTTTAGCTGTTATATTTATATTTAAATACATTAACGTTTCCATCTTTGTATCATACATAGGATCATTTGTGAACTCTCTTTTGCTAGGTACTATACAAACACAAGGTGTATCTGCAAGACTTACTTCCTTTCTTTGTCACCTTTAAAAGAAAATATTGTGATACCGTCTTCAGCTTTTGCAAGCGTCCACTGACTGTTCTGATGCTCAATTTTTTTTGAGATGGGTACTTTTTGTTTTAGCAAACTGAGGTTGTAGTTTAAGTGAATGAGGCCAGTACAGTAAACATAAAGTCCACAAATGCCCCCAGATGACTCATCTGATTTTGAAAGCAGTGTTTCACTGGTCAGAGAACATCATTCAAGAGTAGTCTGTAGCACCTATTCTGGTCATGCAGCAAACAAAATTAAGCCAGGAAGAAGGGGATGAGATGCTGATAAGGGTATTTCTTTTTTGTGAGATTTATTTAAAAGCTTGTTCTAATATAAAAGTTGAAGGAAAAACAAACAAAAGCAAAAAGCTGATAGGAACACAATTTGAACAGGAGCAAGTAGCACAGGAATAGTCTCACCAATTTGGAAATTATCTGCTCTGTTCTTTGAAATGTAGTAGATTGGAAGTTTGGACCTAAGCAAATGATCAGATATGGAAACTATTGGGCTATTTGATGTCTTTCTAATAAACACAAATTATGGTTAGTGGTTGTTTCTGCTTCTGTGATAAGTTAATGCTTCGAGTACTGTTTAGCTCTGCTCATTTAGGAGTGCTGGGGAGTAAAAGGCTGAGTGATGTTCTATTACTCAGACTTCTCATTCTACAGCTGGATTCTTAACTTTGTTTGGAGAACCTATTTTTGTAATGATCGCTACAGTTATTCATGTTGATCAAAGTTCTTTGGTCATATTTGAATATGAAACACCAAACCTCTACATTTCCACCACTAGTATTTCTTTTTCTTCTTTGCAGGCTGGATAGAGGACACAAGTAAGTGCACAATTTTATGTCAGAATTTCTGTGAGTGTAAGGAACCACTGAATTTCTTTGTATATAAATAAGTGACCTAGCAAACTAGATCAATCTGCTCTGGCATTTCCCAAGTCTTAGCCATTAACATTTAGCAAAGGCAGACAGAAAAGGCCTCAGCAGACAAATAAGAAAATAGGGACAAAAATCTATGTTACGAAGTTAGCAAGAAGATGGTGTATATTCATTTTGTACAAAAGTTTTACTATGATGCCCATTTACTTCCTCCTGGACTTTTTAAAGATGTGAATTGTTGAGTTTTCCAAAACAAATGTAAGTTAATACGCTATGCAGAGCTTTGAGGGAAAGAGAAATAGTGCAGAATTTGCTCCAGCTATATGATCTGCATTGATGTCTCTCATGCTTTTCTGTAAATCCAGGACTAACAGGAGTCTGTCTAATGTTGACTGAATTTTAAGCTAATTGGAAATTACTTTCTCATCTGTTCAATCACATTTAGCAACAGTTACTTTTCTTACTGATGTAGTTTATATTTCATTCCTTTTTAAAAAATTACTATTTCATTTAGATGATACTCTTAAAAAAAACAACAAACAAACAAAACAAAACAAAAAAGTGAATCTCTCCTGAAAATGAAACTGCTTTGATGCTCTTGTTCCTCTGTTTAACTGAAATAACCAGACTTCCAAAATATTTACACAGCCACTGACTTCCTGAGCCCTCCAGAATCAGTTATGATCAACTTTTTGTTAAGATTTCTATCTGGATTGGTATTTGATACCACTCTAAGATTTGTTTTTATTTTTTAAATCACTTCTTCATTAACAGTATTAACAGACACTGTTAATTGCCTTGGAAAGTTTGAAAATTCAGGATTAAGAGAATTGATAGGGATTCCTTTTACAACCCAGGTGATTTGCAGTTTTGGAGCCTTAGGCCTGATCTGTGCAGTTTATGTCCAATACAAACATTCCCAGGTGGCTGCAATCAAACATCTAAACCAGCTGAAGTCATGCTGAACATGCACATGCAGTTGCTTGGGGTATCACTTGAACAGGACATTGGTGTTTTCACAAGGGGATAAACTCTCATGATTTTGCTATGGCATCCACGTTGATGGTGGGATTAACCATTCAGTAAAACAAATGTTGCTGAAACAGTACAAAACTTCCTGCAAATGGCACCTGACTTATCTGCAGTTTGCCAGAGGAGACCCAGAGAGAAAAGAAAGGAGGATTGTTGCAGTCCCTGTTAGCACCATTTCCCCCCACTCTGCAGGCCCCATGCTCTGCATGTGGCACTGCTTCAGCGACGCTGCCTTGCTGCAGTGGGCAGGCAAGCAGCAGGAGGCAGGGCAGCCTCTGCAGCGGTGTGCTGGGCTGCGAGGCTCCATCCCCAGGCTGGCGATGCCCTGGGACCTGGGCAGCTGCACGGTGGAGCTCAGCTCTGCCTGCGCCTTGCCGTAATCATCTCTGTTGGGCCTACTTACATCCCATTCTGGAAATGCTGCTAGGCCTTAGAACTGGGACATGTTATTTCTTCCTTCTACAGGACATTCCAGTGTCAACAGGTTACCTATACTAGAATACATAAGGTGTGAGTGTTACTAATGAAAAGCAAAAGCAAACTTTACTTTCTAGTACCTAGGCTGCCTTTTAAAGAGATCTGTGTTTTAGTTTGCCAACATTTCCTGATGTTAATGGTGAAAATGTTAGCACTTCTATGAAGAATCTAGAATTGTATTTTTAACAGTTTTTACCTAGTGCTGGGTAAAGAAAGATGGAGTCCATTTTAAGACCTTCCCCGATGTTTTTTTACAGTTTACAGGAGAACTTACCCGCTGTATTTCAGATGCTCAGAGATTCTTAGCATAATCTTATCTACTTAAGGGTATCCCAACATGCACCTCTTCCAGTCAAAAAGGGGAGCAAATAATAAAATGCAGAAAAAGAAGGAAATGTAAAAAGAGGAATGAATGATCAGTGATCAGAAAATATATGCAAACAAGATAGCAGAAGTGCGGTGAAGAAAAGAAAGAAATGAAAAATGCCATTTTTCCTCTCCGAAAATGTGAGACTTGAAAGACTCACTCAAAAATAAGAGAACAGGAGTGATGATGAATACTCAAAAAGGCTCTATTTAGAATTACTACTGGAGTAATTTAGAATTTAAGATTCTAAATTGAGCTGGGGAGGGCACCAAGGCGCCTCCTCAACAGCTACTAATAAAGGTTAACAACCGAAGGCCACTTACCTGGCTGGGCCTCATCTCCTGTATTTGCCTAGACCACCTTAGGGATGTGCCTGCGATAGAAATTCTGACTTATTAGAAAGCCTTACCGCTGTAACTACGCTGACAAGCCTTTTACAATCTGAACTAGAACATAACAAACATCGCAGAGAAAGGACGCTACCAAGCATGGGAAATGAGGCAGTACACAGTCGCCATGTGGACTGGCAAACACCACATTCAGTTAAACACCGTAAGTTATATATATGGCATTTCTATTTGCCTTTTTGTCTGATGAGTTTTTCCCAGGGATATTTACTTTAGAGGAGAGTTAAAGAAAAACGAGGATTCTACAGAACTGGAGTTGCTTTTTACTTGAATTTTGTAGCTTAAACAGTTGTTAATTAGAAGTTGCATGAAGATTTCACTGTCTGATTTTGTATGCTTTGACCATTGTACACTTCTGTTTTCTTTCATTTGCACTAGGAGGAAGGAAAAATGGTAGGAAATACGATCATTTTAATTTCAAGATTAAGCCACAGACATTTTTCATGTCATCTGCACAGGTGCATGAAACAATTCAGAAGCAACTCAGCACTGTGAACTTCAGTGTACAAAGCAGGCTTAGATCTTAGAAATCCATCTTAAGGACAGGCAAAGTAAAGGAGCAAGACACAGCAGTAGGCACGCACCTACAGGAGCGGCTTCTGCCCTGTTTGCTATCTGCCTGTGCAATTCCTTTTGTGAACAGTGCAGGTTAGGTGCTGCTCCTCCTCAGCTCAGTGGGAATTTCTGCATTGGCTTCAAGGAGAACAGCAAGACCACTTCTCACACCTGCCACTCACACTGTGTGCTCTGAAAATGTATGTTAGGTTTTATTTGGATAAAGGCAGATGATGCTTTGCCAGTGTTTTTCAAGCAGCACATTACCTATGAGGAGAGAGAAATTTAAAAAACTCACTGATTTACCATGTTAAAAAAAGATGGCACATTTATTGCTACATAAATGTTATATACATAGTGTTTTCTGTTACATTGACAGAAATTTTTTGAACTTCTTGCTGCTGGTTGGAAAGGTTTATCAGCAATACCTTGAAATTTGACACAGGGTACAAATCTGCAATAAACCAACAATGGAAACTGGAGAACAAGATGAGAAGCAATTCATCTCGGACAATTAGCTCTTACAATACTCCATAGGTACTACACGGTATGCTAGAACCCTACTATGGTCTTACAATGCTATTGTAAATTTCTGATATTAATGAACAGGTTATGGTAAATAACCCTACATTTTTACTACCTAATATAGTAAAATAAAGTAAGAAACTTTTTACTGAAAACTTTTTCGATTTCAAAAATCTAGAAAGAGTAATATTTAGAATTCAAGAAATTTTCTTACAAGATTATTGTATAAAAGACTAGCTACAGTGAAAAATAAGCCAAATGTTTTTTTCTTTCTATTTTATGAAGGAAAGCTTCTGGGCATACTGCAAAGTCTAATATAGCCAAAAAGACAACAAGCTTAGAAGGAAAAAGGCCAGGCAGTGGCACGTGATCACTTTCACACGTCATAAGCAACAAATTTGTTTAGCTGATAAACACTGAAATGAAGAACAAGGCCACAGATATAATCAGGTGTTATCGATGGTATATGCAAATTAAAGTAATAGAAATGAGTCCACTAATTTCACAAACTGTTTTGTTAGGAACCATCCAAAACATGAGCTTAAATTCATTAGTTTATTTTAACAATCCAGCTTTTGTTCTTTCAAATTAAATGACTTGATAAAAATTATTGTTTTGTTCCTGGTTTGTGTGTGAACCAATTGCCAGTGATGAAAGATGCACTATATAACAATAGCTCAGACAACCTTGGCTTAGGAAATTTCCTCCCATGGTCATTGCAGTGGAAGACAGTTTCCATGGAAGTTCAAAGGGATTTTAACCATTTCAACACATTTGTGACAAAGGAATACTTATGGACACTGTTCTGGTGGATTAACATTTTAATGCTAATATGGCTTGGGAGGGGTCATTTGTTTGCACTTGATTCACATGGATTTTTTTCTCCACTGACAAGCCATACAAAAATGACAAGATAATTGATGTATACAGTAAGGAAAAGTTGGTGACCATTGCTCTTATATTCCATTAGTTAAATAAGCCCACCTTACTGGTGGTTATATCATCACACTACCTGCCACGGTGAATTTAGGATTTTACTATTCACCAAAATTGCAGCCTGAAAAAAATCTCCTTTGTATTTTAATGCATTTTGTGCTTACGTACAGCTAACACTTTACATGTACTATATGTAGTACTTACTGCTCGGAAAACAAAGCAACTCTAACAAAGTAGATTCTCCCCACCCAATTTACACTTCACGTTACAAGCTTTACTATGAAGCCTAGAAGCCTAAAAAGGTTTTGTTTATAATTAGAAAAAAAAACATTTGAGGAAAGTCTGAGGGAAAATAAAAATCAATTTTTAAATCTAAGAAATGTTATGGTCACAGTATTGCTCCTGCCTGCATGCAGCCTTCAGGAGGCCTCTTACTGGCTTTAACCATGGAGCTCAGCATGGAAGGGGAACTATGACCATAACTGTTCAGATTACCAGAGACCAAAAATAACATAAAAAAAGCTATACCAAGGAATAGTTTCCTATTGCATGGAAAACACTAGTCATATGGCAAAAGGAGAGGAAAGGACAACAAAAGACTTTTCCCTTCCTTTTTTAAGACACTAATAGGTATGCTGGGAATGCTACGGGTCGACGGTTGTCACTGCTTTGTTCTCTGAATGTGAACAGCTTTAGTAAATGCTGGCATCCAGCTGAAATTTTATCAGCTTTTAACATGTTAACTTTTCCCTTTATATGTAGACCTTTACAGTTCCATAACAATAAATAAAATTTGTAGTTACAATGCATTTGTCAATTCAGTTTAGGCACAAGGCAACTTCCACAATGAGTGGAGAGATCACAACAGTCTCTGATTGTGCAGAAGCGACACACTGCTTGCAACAGAATGATATGTTCAGAGTATTTCACGGGCTGAAATTCTATCTGAAGATCTTGTATCTTCAATCCTGATGCAGGTGTTGACCAGTAGCTTTGATCATAAGATTGCATTTGGGTTTCTTGCTTCAAGTGTTTTCTCCTGTCAGGTTTGTGTCTTCATATAACGTTAGTTGTCTGTGTCCTTGTGAAGAAAGGTCACCTTCTGTGTATCCTACCAATAATTCTGGAATTCTAGAAAGAGATTTGGAAGAACAAAAGAGTATTAGGAAAAGAAGCATAATATAACACTACTGAATGAATTTGAAATGTATTTTAGGGCATTTTCAGTCAGTTAAGCGCAAAAGAAAATCACACTGAGGGGTCCGAAGTCTTTTTTCCTCAATGCATATCCACCACACACAGCAATTCCATAAAAGCTAACAGATCTCCGATCTCCTGATGGGGAAGGTGAGGCAGCTCCATCTCCATCCTGCTCAATTATTGGCTATCTGCTGTGAACCAAATTTACATCAACAAACTAGTTTTAGCCATGCAGCTGAGCAGTCACTAAAACCTTTACATGCTAGAAACATGTTATAAAACAGGACACTTGTTACTTTTCTACTGTAAAAGCAGTTAAAAACTGCAATTCCTGAGTTCAACAACTTAGTTTGGTTAAAAATATGTTATGTAACTGCTGTATGGTGGTTCTCTCAAACTAGTAAGGATGCCAAACTAGCATGAAGTAATCTAGACCACAAAGAAAAGCTAGATAATGGTCTGCTTTTCTGAGAGTTACTGAGCTTGAACAGCTTACTCTCAGAAAAACTGCATATTTAGACTCTTTGGGTATAGGAGAAAGCTTATTACCTGTGAAACTCAGAGGTAAGAAACTGCAGTTTCATTCAACTTTGACTCTTGTACTCATATTTGTAAAATATGCAAGAGACGGTACCTAATTTAAATCACTTCTGCTGAAGGTAGGCATTACCCTATACATAAGGAGCCTGTAACAATCTTCTCAGGTCAACTTCGTGCTTTAGTCATTCTGCAAAATTATTGCTATTTTATCGTGCTGTGTTTTTGGAAGTGCCTCATATGAAAGCAAAGATAGACTTTTGAAATATGGCAAAATTCATTTGAAACAAAATACAGAATCTGTAAATCAAGAATTATCTAACAAATTAAAAACAGCCTTTTGCTCTGGTATGAAAAAAAAACAAACAACAAAATTAAAGCAATTCATATCACCTTATTTTCCTTAAAATATGCAAATAAATAAATAAATCCATTTAGCTGATGAAGAAAGAAGCTGCCTGTAAGAAAACAGGGGAAGTACTAACTCAAATAAGGCTCGATTTAAATGCCATTCTGTTGCTGTGTAAAGAACACCAGGAAAATAATACATTCTGGCAAGATACTCATACCTTAAGCTGAAATAGAAATGAAACTGTCTATATAAACAACAACAGAAGCGCCCTCCAAAGCATAAAATTTTCAGATGATTTTAGATGAAAATCAGGGCATCAAACAGCATTGAACCAGATCTGTGTTGGTAACTCTTTTGAAAGTGGCAACAGCACTACTGTTTTACAGACAGAAATATCTAACATTTCTCATTAAAGACAAATTTTTCCCACTTAACAAAGAAATATAAACACCACATAATAAAATCCAAATCAACAACTTCAGAAGGAAAAGCCTCATTCCTGTAAGGCCTCCCCGCCAGCCTGTTTTAAATGAACCACCTCATACTGAACTATTTGGAGCATTTGGAAACACTGCTTTGTCTTGCAAAGCTGCTAGCATTGCTTTTTAAGTCTTAATTCACGATCTGTATTAGTGGAGACAGCTCAGGTAGCTCGCCATCTCTGTTGGGCAAGTGATAGGAGGGAAACTGACCGGCCCTAAGCCAGACAGCAAACTTCTCAGATGAGAAGTACCTCCAACTGCTTCTACCAGCCCTGCGACACAAGGCACGGATTTTTAAATGAACTGAGGTGATATTTAGACCACTTGAAGATGTATAATTCATCTCTATTACTCTTGGCTTATCTATCAGGCTGTTATCTATTCCTCTGATATCATGCCAAGAAGGCCACCTGAGCCAAGAGACATAACCATCAGTAAAAACAGATGCAAATGGAGAGAATTCCACTAACATTTCCTGGGTTTTTGTTTTATTATAAAACTACATAAATCTGCACGCTTTTGCTCCTGCTCAGAAATAGGGAAGTATTTAGCAATATCAACAAGTTTGTACTAATGACAGCTCAGTAGCTGAGAATAAACATATCTAGATCTTCTGAATTTTAGCCAATAAAAAGCAAAAACAGAACAAATGTTACCAGAGCCACCCCGCTCTAGACAAGACGTACCTGGCTGGTGTTCACATATGACCCATAGGGTTGGTAGTTTCACTCAGGCCAGGGTGGCTTCCTGGGTGTGGTGTTGGCGGCTCTGCCGATACGGCAGAAACTTTTTCTTCTTCCCTTCTCTTAAGGCAGGCTGCTTTAGGATTTAGGTTTCGCTCTGTAACAGAAAAATGATTCTTAACATCCTGTATGCTGATACCAAAGGGAGTATCAACACATTAATCACTGCAGTAAAAATAGCACTGCAGCTTCCCTTTCCTGAGTACTTACAGCCCTGTGTTAAAGCCCAGGTGCCTAAAGCTGCAGACAAGTCCTACTGAAAGTCCAACTCATAGATCAGTATTTTAAAACAAATTAATAATAATAATAATAAACACAACAAAACACATAACTTACTACCTGCCTAGATACACCTTCAAAAATATTGAAGAACAAAAAATTGCCTCCCTTGTTACACAAAGTAGCTAGAAATACAAGCTGAGAAAAAAATGTCTGCAATTTACAACGAAATAAAGCACGTTTTTGCATTTTATGTTGAAGTCATACCAACCCTTCCTACATCACACTGTTTTTAGTAAAGCTAATGCTTCTTTCTTCACCTTAAGTATTAGCTCATTAGACAAGGCAGAATTTCTTAAGACACTAATCCTCTACATTCACCGCCCATCTTGGTTATCCATCATATTCTCCCCAATTCACTTATACAGCAAAAAGGTTTTTTTTTTTTAAACCTTATTTCCGCTCGCGTTATAAAGCCACTACTTTATAATAGCCAGCTGTGGACTAACTATCAAAATATTGCCATCAGTATGTTTCTACTTCCCCAGTTAGCTTCATAGATGTAGATTTGAATCTAGTTTTCAAATAATTTACAGCTTCTAAGAGTCACCTGTTTCTGTCCTTCAAAACGGCTTTTCATGAATCAGGACAACAGACAAATCTCAGTGGCCAAAAAGACGCACGAAAGTACGTAATATATTCTGTCAACTGAAAGAAGTGATTTTTCTCCTCAGTGCATATTGAATTTAATCAGCATTTTGAAGTATTTTTCTTGTTCTCAGTGAATTGTGTTTTGCAGTTTAAGATGGCGAGTATGATTTTTAACTGTAAGGAAACTGCCAAAACAGAGCAGACAGCATGAGCTCGGTGCAGGAACTCTTAGATCTTCCCTTCTACAGCACTGATGCCCCACTAATAACTGCAGTCTGCTGACCCCTGTTCATGTTACAGGGTGTTTCTCTAGCTGATCTGACAGAGGCAATTGTACTTCCACTCAAACCATTATCAACAGCCTCCTACTGGAATTGCTAAGGATGATCACTCACAAAGAGTCTGCTGGAAAAAAAAAAAGTAACTTCTCTGAACTACAGTTTTCTTAGTTTAAATGTGGCTGTCCTTTAAGTTTTAAAGAAGTTGCAATTATATGGAAACTTTGAAAGGAAGTTAATTTACAGTGATTTAGGAAACGGAGATGAAAATGCCAGCCTACAGTTAAAGCTTAATATCTGAAATGTTTCATTTTGAATAGCACTAATCACAAAATGAGAAGATGCTTTACCAGCAGAGAGAGGAAATTGTTTATGCTATTATATAATGCACTGGCAAAAGCTCTGGATATCACACAAAGCTCTGGTCACTGAGTTTTAGGATACTTAATTGAGCTTGGAGCAGGTGCAAAGAAAGACAAGAGAAAATGAGGAATGCAGCCTCTCACAAGAGGCACGGTGTGCTTGTGACAGTCTTCTTCAAATGCACAGAGAGTAAAGTACAAAGTGAGATGTGAACACGAGGAAGGGAAAAATCTTGACTTAAACTATCTACGAAGTCCAAATTAACTGCCAATACATTTAGGAAAAGATTTCTAATACAGGCATAAGGTATGGAAGTAACCAAAGCAAAAGTGACCTTATTAATTTTAATGCAGAGCTTTGTATGGTTTGCATGGCCTGTAGAATTAGGGAGTGGACCTGATGTTTTTAGTCCTTAAAACATGCTTCATTAATGTTCTTCCAACTTCTTCATAATAGTCAATCTTATCTTCCAGAGA